ATTAGACACTACCACAACCGAAAGAATCAAATCCATTTTTCCAATATTGCTATCAATGGAATCTTATAAGCAACAACTTTTCACAAATGCCATTGTAAGGATACTTAAAATAAATAAAATCAAAACCTTTTTCTTTTATTTTAAAACTTTGCGGAAAAACTTATCCTTACAATCCATATGAAAACCTTGTTGTTATCTATTCCTAAGCAATATAAATATCATAACTCTTAAGTAATAGCCCAAAATTCTGATCACCGAACCATGCGATTGAAATCCATCTTCGCGATCAGAATCAGCATGTACTTAATAGAGTTAGACAATGGACTTTACCTGAAGTAGAGCCAAACTTATTGACTTTAACATCCTTAGGTAAATTTGGCAGCTTCGTAACCAATGCCCCTTCCTTTGGCAATAGTTACCTATGGACCCTTGATAATGGGACTATCTCAGACTTCGCCTCTCTCTTTACCATTGGGTCAACCGAGTTGACTATGGCCGATCCCTTTCCATTGGGAAGAGAGAGCTTTACTGGATATCCAATGTCATCATTGTCAATGTCCATAGCGTTTTAGGAAGTTGATCTTAGCAAATAGATAAGATCATTAAGGGTCTTGTCTTAGTCCGTTTCATAGGATTCCCAAAAGAACTCACTATGTGACTTAGAAAGTAGTTGAGCCACCAACTTTCTCAAGATTTTGACACCCAACTCTCCCGGCTTGTCAATATGTGACTACATCTCCAAGATGTGATCACACCTAGACCTTGCCTTGCCAATAGGGCTTGAGTGACGTTAAACTTTTTATGAACTTGTGGGTTAGGGAGAATAATTGGAGGAGGTGAAAGAAGTATGATATCCATGGGACATCATCTTCATTTAGGAAAGCTTGTTTCAAGAGATTTGGGAAGATCATAAATGTCTAGACCAGACATCTTTTTGGCAGATATTCAAGATAGTTGATTTAAAGTCCTTAATATGACACCCAATATGAAATATTAAGGCTACGACCCAACAAACTATTTTATAACTTAGAAGAGGGATGTTGTAATCCAAGCTATAAAATATTTGAAGGTAGGTGAATGACGATTCACCAATTTCCACCATGAAAAACGAAATAATTTATTAGGTTTAATTTGGATTTGAAAGTCCTAGATCTTTGAGATTCATTGAACTGTTCAAAGGCATGTTTCAATCTCGAGTGTGCCCTTCAGGTTTTGTGACTGGGATGCCGAGGATCACAAAACAAGGTGTGAATAACCATGCAAATATACTTAGTACCCTTAATATTTACCCCTTAATCAGTGTGTCGTTTAACCACACACGCTCCACCGATACTATGATAAATATTAAGTTACCCTTTGCCTACCTTGTTAAGTCCAGGTTAGTGTGCCGGTTAACCACACACGCTCCACTAACGACTTAAGCAAAGTGCAAAGTGTAATTTCATGGGTTAGCACCAAATTCACATTTTCCTAAGTAACTAAGATTGGGTATTAATAAGAGTTTAGTTACTTAGTATTTATCATTAATACTTTTAATGAAAGGAAAATTATAGTCCTTGTCCTACCCGTTCGGCTAACGACCCTCCACCAGTCAAGGAAGCGGTGGGTGAGAGTGGACACCCATTAAACTGCCATTTTATAGGCAGTAACCTTATACCCCCCCTTATAGACCGGCTTCGTGAATGAGGCCTACTAACGGTAAGACTGACTTTACTCTTATACATATATATAAATATTACTAACTTATAATATTATAAAGTATAAGGGTTGAATTTTAACTTTTAAAATTCTAAGGGCTAACTTGGAATTAAAGTATTCATAAGTGAAAACTTTTCAAATTCCAAAACTTGAGGGCAAGTTTGAAACTATTCAAAACTAATTAATTCCATAACTTATGAGTTTAAAGTAGTTTTAATTAAAAAAAAAAAAAAAAACTCTTCAAGTTCCATAACTTGAGGACAAGTTATGGAAGACTTTAAACTAATTAATAAAAAAAAAACTTTTTTTTATTGTAACTTATGGAGCTAATTAAGGTTACACTTTTTTTTTAATTTAATGAAGAGACTCTTGAACCTCCATAACTTGAGGACAAGTTATGGAGTCATAAAACCATTTAATTAGAACTAGACTCTTCATTTTGTAACATTTGCCAACTTTTATGAGTTTTATGATTCTTAAATGTGACTTTTCATATAACTTGAGGACAAGTTACAAAAACACACTTTGGAATCAACTCTTAGATTAAAATGGATTGAAAACAACTATTTCACACAACTTTTCTATTAATCTAAGAACCTCATAAGAACAAGATAATTCAAATCATCAATCTTCAAGAAATTAGCATGAACATACAAACTAATACAAATCTTGAAATTATGACAATTATCTTAGAAATTGGATTAGCATGAACATTACCACATCAAAAACAAGTTTATAAGTCCAAAAACATCTTAGGGTAATGTTCCTAGTCCAATTCCAGCCAAAACAATTGAATATATGCATCCAACTCGATTTTTCAGCTACTTTTGCAAGTATAACAAGAAAACAAGCCTAGGCTCTGATACCACTGTTGGGTTATGAGCATTCTAACACTCCTAAGTGTACATGCAACCCTAAATACCTTGGATCTATGTTTTCTCTATTATACATACAATTATGAACATCCAAGGTATTATCCTAATCTAGCATACAAAATAATAAATATAACAAGATAGAATACATACCTCTTTGATGTAGAATGTCTTCATGAAGCTTGAGTGCCTAGTGCCCCAAGTGTGACACCTCAAATGGTTCACACAACACCAAATACACTTGGAATAACTTGAGAGAAACTTGAACACTCCTTGAAATCGTCTAGCCCTCACACTCACACATTAGTGCCCGATTTCTTGAGCCATGGGATTCTTTTATATGGTGGCTATTAGGGTTACACCATGTAACTCATAACTTTACCCATTCCTTATGCTCCATGGATTTTAACCTCCATGGAGTATCCATAGGTCACCTCATGGACTTAGTCCAACATAAGGAATCTTGGATCACAAGCCCACATATATAAGAATGAATGATTTACACAATCAACCCATATATTTAATTAGTCTCCTTTTGATCACTTAATTAATTCCAAATTAATTCTTGATCAATACTAATTAAATAACCTTATTAATATATATTAGAACTTATAATATATTAACCAACCTTAAGTGTTATTTCTCTCATTATAGTCTATCCAAATGCATGATGCCATGCAACCCAAATGGACCATGCCGGGTCGGGTCAAGTCTTACCAATTATAGTTATGGACTTAGACATTAATCCAACAGCCGGGTCGGGTCAAGTACATACCAAATATAGTTATGGACTTAGACACTATATCCAATAGGATTATGGAGAGAGAAAGCGTATAACCATTCCTAAAGATAGAGGGCCCTTAATATAAAAAAAAGAGAAAAGAAGAAACAAAACGAAACGACGCTATCTCGCTAAAACGACTCTATTACATCAGAAACACGTCATGAACCGTTCCCACCAAACGCGTGCCCAGATCTAAGCTAGAATTACTCAGCTACCCTGAGCAAACGCTGACGTCTACTAGCCTAGGGGACTTGTTAACGTATCCCACCGAGAATACGTCAAAAATAGTGGAACCGTCAGTCTGATAGACAATTTGGGCAAAGAGCGGCATATGCCTAACGCCGGGTCCTCGCTCTCGCGATCCCATATTCATTCCTTGGCACCCAAGCGCCAAAGCCAGTGTCAAGACAAAATAGTACCAAGGGCCTCTCAGAGCGACAGGTGTAGCGCTCAGAACATCGCTCCTGGCAACCCTGCACCAATGGCAAATGATTACTCGCGGAGCACGAACTACCAATCAAAGGTCATCTATCCCTGCCAAACCTGAAAAGGTAAAAGATACTGTAGGGGATCTGTCCCCCCGACCACAAGTATAAAAAGTTCCCTTCTCCTCCAAGAGAAGGGATCGAGAAATAAAACCTAAGACACTTGCCTAACACTTTTGCACCTTCTCTCTAAAAGTCAAACTGACTTGATCATTGGAGCTTTGTTCCTGGACTGCCTCCCGGACAAAGACTGACAATCTTGTTTCGTTTGCTGTGATTCTCAGGCCCTTCATTCCATCATTCAAAGAGACGGAGTTAAGCAGGAGACATATCACAACATGAATGAAGGGAGCTTCGTAATATTCGGTTACCATCTTCTATTTCGGATGAGACAATTATAAGTAGAGGTGTGGTTTACTTCTTATTGTCTAACTATGACATTCTGCGATTCGATGTATATTCGGAAGAATATTTAGTGATATCTGCACCTTCTATTATTAATGATTTCAACCCGTATACATCGAGGTTTATCAAGTTTGACGGAAAATTTGGATATTTTTCCATAAGTGGCGATCGTTTGTGGGCTATTTGGGTTTTCATTCAAAATCGGTGGGTTAAAGTAGATGTTAGTAACTACAATGCCGGTTCACATGAATGGTGAGATTATCGAAACAATATCATTTATTTCTTTAAAGGAAATACCATTGAGCATGTCATTCTGACACATATTCTCATGGAGTATTTTCATTTCGTTCAGATTGTGAGACAGTGAGTATGCCAAGTAGAAATATGTGATTGTATATATTTTAATTTGCAATGGAAAACCGTTGTTTTTTCTCATGAAGATATTTAATATTTTATATTACTTTATGATTGAATACTTTTTTTTTAATTTATAGTTTTAATCGTCAACTCATGTCTTATTTTCTTTTATGATATTAATTTTGTTTGATATATGTATCGAAGATTTTTAATAAATTCATTTTAACCCATTAATCAGAGCCGGTCCTGAAAAAGTAAATATTCTCAAAGGCCCAGGACGAACAAGAAAAAAAAGGCCCTTATCTTTATTATAATTTTTTATTTTTAAATAAAAATATATAATAAAAAAAATGTTTCCTTCAAAATGAGAGGTGAGACTAGAGGGGGTTAAACTGTTAAAGACTTAAATCATAATTCGCATGAATTAAGGTTTCTCCAGACATCTTCCCCCATAAACCCTTCCGCCATCTACAACCCTAAAATTTCCCAAACATTCCGACCGCCATTATCGATTACTAAGAAATAATAACCATCTTTCTCGTTGTCTCAGCCATGGAAATTGACGGGTTTCTCTATGAAACCCTATCCCCTCTATCATCCAACGTCGCCGTCCCCACCATCGCATCCACACCGCCGCCGGCTCCCAGTTCCCCTACCCCTAGCGACTCCGAACCGTACCTTGTGCTACGGAATCATATACCCATATCTACGAATTCGACGCCCTTGCCGGAAACTTCCGCTCCTGAATTCTTCTCTCTGGATGTCGATGCCGATGATTGGAGAACTCCGACGCCGCCCCTCAAACGTTCGCGATTGGCCACTTCTTTGCCTGATGAAGAACCCACCAGAAATCTTGAGACCGGTTGGTTTCGTGCCAATTGTCGGTTTAAGAGCCCCATGCTCCAGCTTCACAAAGGTATCTTTCGTCCCTTTTGCTTTAAATTTGTCACATTCTGATTAATTAGGGTCATGCCTTCAATCCAGTACGATTGTTAGAATAGTTAAATGGGTGTCTTTTTTTTTTTTTTTTCATTCACTCTATTGAATGAGTTCTAATCTTTTCAAGATTAGTTTCTTATTCACATTCAATCTTGTATCAAAATACTGCAAATATAATAGCTTTAATGTTTAATTTCCACGATCTCTGTAACATTTAGTAAGCGTGTGCCATTGTATTAAGTTGATTTGCATCTGATAAAATGTATTAAGTTGATTTGCATCTATTTTTTATCAGAGATCCTGGATTTTTGTGATTTTCTGTCTCCAACTTCTGAAGAGCAAGTATCACGCGACACAGCAGTCGAATCCGTTTCAGATGTTATAAAGTATATCTGGCCTATGTGCAAGGTACATGTGTTCCTAATACAATATGATATCAACAATTCTAGAAAGAGGTGCAATTCTTATATATTATATTTGTTTTACAGGTAGAAATTTTTGGCTCTTTCAAGACAGGGTTGTTCTTACCAAGCAGTGATGTTGACGTAAGTCCATCTATTCTCTTAATAAATTATTCGCATAGATATTCCAAATCAATTGTTCTTGAAGCTGGAATGCAATAGGGTTTTCTTATTATGTTGTTATGCTACTTTCAAACCACTATTCGATTGTTATGTCATGATATGATATGATTATAATCATCCCATGGCATCTTCTTCTCTTTTATGCTGTTTTTGCATTTATGGCTGTATAAAAACTCATTGTAGATGGTGATACTGGACTCACATATTCGAACTCCTCAAATGGGTTTACATGCTCTCTCTAGAGCTTTATCTCAAAGAGGTGTTGCAAAAAAGATTCAGGTAACCCTACATGTCAACACCTCAAGCATTTTTTTTGTCTAATTTATATCAAAATATTACTGAAATTTATTATTTTTATCAGGTGATTGCTAAAGCCCGTGTGCCAATCATTAAATTTGTGGAAAAAAGAAGTGGCATCTCATTTGATGTAAGGTTAGAAATCAAACTCTATTTCTCAAAATTTATATTTTTAAATTAGAGTATTATTGTTCTTTTTTTGAGTATTTGTTTTCTTTTTAACAGTTTTGATATGGAAAATGGACCGAAAGCAGCTGAATATATACAGGTTTGTTTAGGTGTTTAGATAAATATATAAATAAATAATATATAAATAAATCAATAATAGAAATAAAGAAGTAATTCACTTTAGAATTCACATTTTTTTTCTAGGATGCTATATCTAAGTGGCCCCAATTAAGGCCATTATGTTTGATCTTGAAAGTTTTTCTACAACAACGCGAGTTAAATGAGGTATGTGAGTGTGACACTTTTTTTTTTTTTTTTTTTTATTAATAAATAATAATCTTTTTCTCTAAATGTTTTCATTAATTAAATTTTATTAGTGCAGGTGTATTCAGGTGGGATTGGTTCTTATGCACTTCTAGCTATGCTAATAGCAATGTTGCGGGTACATATTTAAAAGTACTTACTACATGGGTACTTTTAAAAAAAAAAATTCTAAATATGTGCAATTTTTTACATTATTCTCATTGAAATTTTCCTCTTATGTAATACAGAATTCACTTGATTCTCATGCTTCTCCAGAACATAATCTTGGAGTTCTTTTGGTATGATTTTTTTTCCTTTTCCATATGATGTCGTATGCATATTTTCTTTAAAATTATGAAATTATATCGCAACATTGGTATAAATTGACTTTTTTTTTTTTTAATTAAAAAAGTTCACTAAGAATCTGCTCTGTTTTATTTGAAAGTAGGTTACTTTTTTTGATATGTATGGGCGCAAGTTGAATACATCTGATGTTGGCATATCTTGCAATGATGGAGGAACCTTTTTTTCTAAAAAGAGCAAAGGGTACGAAAATTCTCTTCTTTCCTTTTTATTTTTTTATTTTTTTTAATTTCAGTTTACATTACTTGATTTTTTTAAGTTTACTGATAATCTTTCTGACTTTTGTACTTAGATTCCTAAACGCAAACAGGCGATCACTACTTGCTATCCAGGATCCACAGGCAATATATCTATCTATCTGCCGAATTACCTTTTTACCCTTTTTATGAAGTTTAATTAATGTGGTTTTTGTGTTTTTGATAATAGGCTCCGGATAATGATATAGGAAAAAATTCCTTCAACTATTTCCAGGTTAGTAAGTAGTAGATGTAGTGATGATAAGTGTTTTGAATTGAGTGTTGATAAAATGTCTAAAATACCCTTGGTGTGCACACAGATAAAATCAGCTTTTGGAATGGCATGTGCGACTTTGACAAACACAAAACTGATAATGAGTCTAGGCCCCAACAGGAGCATTCTGGGCACCATTATAAGACCAGATAAAGTTTTGTTGGAGAGAAAAGGAGGTTTGAATGGTGATGTGACATTTACCAATTTACTCCCTGGAGCAGGGGACCCGTTGGAGAAAGACTTTGTGGAACATGAGGGGCTTTTTTGTAATTGGAATGTAGACGATGAGGAAGAGCCATTGCCTCGTGGAAAGGGGATTCTTATCAGTGATGATGATGATGATGATGTTGCTGCAGGGTCTACTTCTAAGAAGAAGTCAAAGAGAGGGGTCAAACTGTATAAATCGGCTAAAGTCAAAGTCAAAAAGTTGAAGAAGAGAAAGAGAGCCTCATCAGAGGCCTGAATTGAAAATTTATTTCATGAATGGAGATTCGTTTGTTTGTTTGTTTGTTCACTTGAAAATGAGGTAGGTATTTGAAAGCTTTAGAATTGATGCACAAAAGCTTTCGTAGGAGAATGTTAAAATTTTGTATTTTTTATTGCTAATTTTGTGATATTTATAAGCTGTTGATCCACGAGGACAACTACTCATGCAAATAGCGGTTTTTTGTCTTGTTCAAGATTTTAAGCTTATTCTAACCAAAATATTTCCAACCATGCACCCTACCCTATCAAACAATACTCACTTGCTGCCACACACACACTCAAGAAAAGATGCACTTCCTAAATTACAACATTATAAAAAACTTGTAATTTTATTACATTTTACTATCCATTTCAACTAGGTTAGACCTAAGGATGCTACTGATTTTCATGATCGAGTGTGTGTGTGTGAATTTTGTAATGTAAATTCACGTTGTTCATCTTTGAATTTATATAATATATGTGACTCGTTTGTTTCAATGATATTTGCAACAACCAATTTATTAATCCTGTTTAAGAAAAACCATTTTCAATCCGAGTCATTATGTAATGCACTATAGAAATATCATTTTGATCATCTCTTTTGAAATTGTAGTTGGTGTAAGTTGAACAATATAACTAATGCCTTTTATACCTCTTAAACAATCTTGAATGGCTGCTTTTGATCAATCATGAAAATTGCTTTGAAACAGAGTGGCAAACCTAGAATAAAAAACTATCTGGTTCCCTAACTAGGTTCAGCTAGGCCTGTAGTACAAGCATGGTTTTGATAACCAGATCAGCCAGTTCAACCAGTTGAACCGGAAACCAATCAGGTTACCGGTTTCTTTTTTTTCTTTTTCAATCTCAAACACACTTGTTAGTAAACTAGTGCGAACCCGTCGGTTTGCCAAAAAAACTAGATTCAACCAACCGTTTAGATCATTCGAAAACCGGATTTTATAAATATATGTATTAAATTTTTAAAAACAACTACAAAAGCCAATTTAGAATAACAAGGCACCCTGGCTAATTGGCTTTTAACTCGTTAGATGAGTCATAACTGTCAAACACAAATGTATTCAGCCCCACCCTAGAGGGTGTGCCAGAGGCGACTGTCTAGGCTTCATCTTTTATAGGGGCCCAAATTTTTTAGAAGCTAGTATAATTAATTTTATTTCAATTATTGAGTTATTATAAAAAACTTGATAAAATTTGTGTATTTTAAAGACATTTTTCCTCGTCCCGGGCCCAAAATATGTTTGAAATGACCCTGAATATACTTCAAAGTACTCTCATATTGCTATTTATAAAACATCTTCCACCTATTTCATTTAGTTGCTCGATGTGGGACTGGGACTAACTATATGTCTTAAATATATACAAAGGAATTTTCCAAACATATTCCTTCTTTATTTTAACTAATATACTTTTTTTCTTAATTTTTACTTCCAACACAAGGTAGGTCCTTTGATTTTTGTGAGATAGTTCCTAAGTTTTTGGTTATAGTCTCTAGTAATTGTTGAAAATTTAGGTGGGTCAAAGAACTCACCTTCCCATATAATAAACTCGCCCTTACAAACAATGTGATTATATAGGAAAAAACATTTTAGCTCCATAACCAGTTACAATCCAGATCAATATCACCAAAATTTTGTTTGTTCAATTTGTAAAAAGAACCCCGATTTTAAAATCTGGTATATATGCAACCTCTATAGGTATGGTCGTGGTGCTATATCAATCCAAATTTTGGGTTGCGGATCCTAAAATATTCCTACTAAAAGTACATGTGATAAACAAGCATTAGATTTGAAATATCACATTTCAAAAATGTTATCTTAAAATCAGAGTTGTATTTTTGAGATTTTATTTCTTTTGAAAAAAAAATTGTTTTCAGAAAAGTAAACGTCATAAAAACCAATGATTATTTCCGTCATATTTCAAGGAAAATCATAAAAACCATTATACTTTCTAATGTCATATACTTCAAGAAAGAAGTAACCATCATAAAGATAACTTCCAATGTCATATTTTATAAAAGAAGTAAGCATCATAAAAACAATAATAATTTCCAATGTCATATTTCAAGAAAAAATAAACATCATACAAACAAATATAATATTCAATGACACATTTCAAGAAAAAGTAAGCATCATAAAATCAATGTTAATTTTCAATGTCATATTTCAAGAAAGAAGTAACTGTCACAAAGATAATTTTTAATGTCACATTTCATGAAAGAAGTAAACATCATAACAGCAATGACGATTTCCAATTTCAAATTTCAAGAATGAAGTAAACATCTAAAAATGATGAATTCCGGAGAAAAAAAAAACTTTAGTCTAATCTTTGTCAAAAAAAAAAAAAGCTAAAATTATGAAAAAAACCCGAACCATTGAAATCTCATGTAGCTCTTATTAGACGATTTGAGCTTATGGTTTGAGATTTCAACGTGGATCAAGCCCATGAGCCCATAATATTTAAAGTTGAATAAAAAAGTATCATTACTTTTATATTTTCAACTGAGAGTCGAACAAAACCTCAATAATATTTATGCAACGGTGTTTAATGTTTATGAAACCATCTAACTCTAATCTCGGATGAGTTAGAGGAACTCATCTGTGACTAATCTAACTAATCTGAGATCTCCATTATTAATACATAACCTTATATATCATGGAGCTAACAACTAACTAGGAGGTATTGGGTTCAATCCCAGAAAAAGGAGAAAAATATATAGTTATTTGCTGTTTCAAAAAATAAAATAAAATAAAATAAAAAAATAAAAATAAAAATAAAATAAAATAATTGTAGATAAGATCTTCTTCGATTTCCTTTAACTTTAAATAAGAACATACAAAAATACTAACACATAATCTATACAAATATTTATCTACAATTATCCAACTAAATTTTAAATGTATACTAGAAAATTGAAAAATGAAATGTCTCCGTCGGCCATAAGAGATTCTTTGCTCGATTCTAAACTTAAAATATAAAAATGAAGTTATTTTTTTTAACCTTAAAAATATGGGCTCATGGGCTCGGCTGATAATGAAATTGCAACCGATTAACTGAAACCTCAACCTTAACGTAGCCCAAAAAGGGTCCTCTATGATTTCAATGGTTGGTTGAGTCATTTTTTAAAAACTTTTAGGCTATATTTTTGAAAAATAATTAAAAAATTAGACTAAATTTGCAAAATTAATAAGTAATAAAATGTTAGCAGTTTGCTCCTCTGCTACAAGCATTCTTTCATAATAAAGGGGAGACTAACCAACAAGCATCTCCCTCACATTTACAACTTTCTAGTCTTGTGGACACCAAAAGTTCAATATTATTTGGGAGTTTATCTATTATAAAATAAAAGGTAACGGATCAGACTGCTAATGTTTGTTGAAACTTAATCGTTTTGGATTAACGACATCAACCCTAACAGCCATTGTTTGACCATCCTCTTCATCACTCCAACTTATTCCATCCCTTTCTAGTAGCTTAGATATCTACCACATATACATACAAAATCAACAAAAAAAAAAAAAAATCCACAAATTTAAAACAAACAAAAGCCATGTGAAAGAGTATTCTTACCAAACGTTTACGCGCATTTGGTTTGGTATTATCATCACTTGTCCCAACTTTCACTTTCAGATAACGTATAGCTGCAAAGCACCACCAAACATTCATCACTATTGTATTGATTCACATTATTTCCAAAAAAAAAAAAAAAAAAAGGAAAAAGGTCCCCCCCTACATGGTATGCCACACATAGATTTTAATTGTGCTTTCATCAGACGAATAGCTTCTTTTGGATCATACATATTTAAATCAATAGAAATCGCCTCCCCATCATTTCTGCAACCATAAACAATAACACATCAAAATTCAAGTCTTCCATTACATTTCCATCATAAAATCAATATTAAAAAAAATCTTTTATTGTTTACCTAGGTTCAGTTAGCATTTTGCCAGACATCTCGTTTGCCTCACGAGCCTTGTCCATATAGAAGTGTCCCTACACATATGCATGGCCCACCATATGTTAGCCAAATTAATATACTGACAACACAAATGCTAAATAAATGTCACATTAAATAACAAAAAACACTTCAAGCTACCTGTTTAACAAACTTTTTTGCAAGCTCATAGTCACCTTTGGCATACGCCTCAGCACCCTGTCATACATTAATTAAAAGATGATAAATGAGATATTACAATATTAGTAAAGAGTTTAAATTTTTTGCTGCTTACAGCTCTATAGTATTTTTTCATTGTGACCCAATGCTCCAATGCAGCTTCTCTTAGCATCTCATAGTTGTCTTCAGTTTCTTCATTTCCTGTTTCAAAATAATAAGCATAAGTTGTAAAATATGATTTATTATAGAATGAGAACATTGCAGGTGGGTTCCTCTACCATCACCATTATTAGCTTCTTTTTCTACAATTGGAGACTTGAATATTGTTACTGGCTCTTCTAAAGGTCCAGTAACTACACCATATTTTCTTGTCCTTGGTTCTCTTCTTGGACGTATAGGAATAGCTCCTGTTTCAACTCCAGAAGTAAATAGTTTTCCCAATATTTCCTTTTCAAGATTTGACCTGAAAAAACCAAAAAAAAAAAAACATGATTCTCTCAATCAACAATTGGGTATCATATTATCATACACACCCCAAACCCAAAGCTTCATACCTTCCTGCAGAATCACTGAATTGCAGTTTCTCTTCAGACTTAATTTCCAAATCTTGAAAGTCTTTACATGTTTGGTCAAGGTCAACCATGCTTGAAGTGGCATTTCCCAAATCCAAAGTGGGGGCTGACATGTTCATTAGTTTCTCCATGCTCTGTATTAGCAAATCAGGGTTAAAACGTAAAAGAATCATGGCATGTTTAAACAAAAACTTAGAATGTTAATTGATAAATAGAAAACTTACCTCTTGCACATCATACCCACAACCACCTGGAATTATAAAAAAAAAAAAACACATCCAACAATAAAAAGATTAGGATAAAGGTGTTTGGTTATAAGTATGGAAATTTGAATGATAATTGATCATGTTCTAAGTTTCTTACCAACAACCTGTTTGATTACATCCATGTCTAGTTGGAAGCCAT